ACATTGAAAAGCCAAAAGACTCGATAAAAAACTATTGGAACTCATAAGAGAGTTTGGAAAGTAGTAGGATAGAAAGTTGATTAACGGGCCCGGCGCGGTGGCGCAAGTGGTTAAAGGTCCTCGCCTTGCACGCCCGGGATCCCATATGGGCGCCGGTTCTAATCCCGGCAGCCCCGCTTCCCTTCCAGCTCCCTGCTTGTGGCCTGGGAAAGCAGTCGAGGACAGCCCAAAGCTTTGGGACCCTGCACCCGCGTGGGAGACCCGGAAGAGGCTCCTGGCTTCGGATCGGCATAGTATCGGCCCGTTGCGCTCACTTGGGGAGTGAATCATCGGACGGAAGATCTTGCTCTCTGTCTCTCCTCTCTGTATATCCGCCTTTCCAATGAAAAAATAATAAAAATAAATCTTTAAAAAAAAAAAAGAAAGTTGATTAACATAAATCGATAACCCTAATATACACAATTCTATGGCTTCAACCCTTATGGATGGGTACTGCAGCCTAGCCCATCCAGGCATGGGCCCAGGGCCAGCTTTTATGTGTGCAAACAGGCAATGGGCAGTGCTACTTAGCTTAGCCCAGGTATCCCACATGGGCAGGTGCCTTGGCCCGGCCCAGACATGCCCTTTGGTTTCCTGCTTCTATACTAGTCTGTCTCAGCTCCCTTGTACTATGTATGAGTGCAGTGGTTCAGTCTGTGGAAGACTCCAGAAATCATTCCTTCTCTGTCAAACTTACCCTCAGCTACTGCCAATCCAAATTGTTCCAAAACCTCTTCCCTGGGCAGTCTGCAGCTCCCCTGCCTAGGGGCCAGGGTAATATGTCTCAGTCTGGAGTTCCCCACTATCTCCATATATCTCTAAAAAATAGAATAGATAGCTATGCTGGCACACTAGTATAATTATCACACATTTGGTATTAACAGGACTCAAACTGTCTGCCAGCTATTAGCTACTTTTCTCCCAGCAATGTAACACTTGCCTAGGTATAGGACAACCCAGGCAATTGCCTACTATCTAGGGCTCAATATTATTTTGGATAAATGTATTGTCTTCTGTGGCTCTATATTAATTTTACAATTAAAAAGTTTCTGCCTAGAGTGCCACGGGTATTTTAATAGGGCTTTCACTGAATCTGTAGTTTGCTTAAGATAGTATGGGTATTTTAATATTAATTGCCATAATTCATAAACATGAGATAAAATGGGAAGAATCATTTCACTGAATCATGGTCACTGAAATAATGAAGACAATGTGTTATCAATGAAGAGTTTGATAAATAGAACAATAGAATAAATAGAGAACCTAGAAATAGATTCACAGAAATATAGTTGACTGATCTTTGGGAAAAATCCATTTAATGAAAGAAGGATAGTCTTTACAATGGTTGGTTTGGGTATATTAGACATCCATAGAAGGAGAAAACAAATCCCAAACCAAGTTTTTTTTTTTACATTTTATTATTATTATTATCATTTTATGATACAGTTCCATAGGCTCCTGGGATTTCCCTTATCCCAGCACCAATTCCCTCCACCCCCGCCTAGTTCCTCTACATCATTACTATAGTTCTTCATACACAGTCATATGCCCATCATTGTGAGCATGGACAATGACAGAGAGTCCAGCATCCTATTGTCAAGATATAGTAAACAGTTTCATTGGGAGTCCATCTTTGTCTGGAAGTAGAGAGGCATACTACATTGTATCCTCACGTCTGGATGTTAGTCTCTGTTTCACAGCTACTGCACATCCCCTCAAATGAAAAGTCATAATTCAAAATCAACAATAGAAAGAAAAATAGAGATTTGCAACACCATGAAGTAGAATCACATGTTACTAGATATGACAGTCTCCATTAGCAGCTACTATACTTCCCCTTAAATGAAGAGCCACAAAACAAAATCAACATCAGGAAGAAAAAAGAAATTAACAACACCATGAAGTTAAATAACATGCTACTAAATGACTAATGTGTAGCTGAAGAAATGAAAATCAAGAACCTTCTTGAAGAAAATGATGCTGCTCTATGATCTATGAGTCATTGAATGATAATTAGAAGTGTTTTGAAGAGATGAAACAAACAGAAAACATCAAATCCCATGAGATATAGTTTCCACTGATTTTTGTTGGTGAAGTGTGTCTCTTCTAGACAATTAATACATGAGTTTTGTTTTTTAATCCTGTCTACTAATCTATGGTGTTTGCGCTTAAGCCATTTACATTCAGGGTTAATATGTATGGGTGGTACTTTGGTCCTGTCATTTTAGGAATGGGTTGTTCATTGATTTAGTCTTCTGTTGTCATTTTCCTGGGATGTTCTTCCCGTTTGCCTTTGGTTTTGTTTGGTGCTATTACTCTTCTCTGTCAAGAGAACATCTTGAAGTATCATTTGTAGGCCAGGTTTGAAAGAGGCAAATTCTTCTAATGTTTCTTAACTGTGGAAGAATTTTATTTCATTATCAAAGACAAAGGAAAGCTTTGCTGGGTATGTTATCATGGGCCAACAGGTTTTTTTGCTTTTAGAATCTGGAATATGTCACTCCATTCTCTTCTTGCCTGTAGAGTTTCCTATGAGAGGTCTCCTGTGAGCTTAATTGGCATTCATTTATATGTCAATTGATTCTTTTTTAATATGCATATTTAAGGATCTTTTCCTTATGTTCAATTGAAGAGAGCTTGATGATCATGTGTGGTGGTGAAGATCACTTTTGATCAAGCCTGTTGGGAGTTCTGTGCCCCTCCTGGATCTTGTTTCCCAATTCTTTCTCTACATTAGGGAAAATTTCCTTTATTATTTCATTAAATATATCTGTAAAGCCAGTTTCTGTTTCTGCATCCTCTGGGACTCCCATAGCTCTTATGTTTTTAGCCTCTTAATAGTGTCTTTCAATTCTTGAATTTTTTTTTTTTTACCTGATCCAGTTCTGCTTCCAGATTTTGGTTTGCTTCTCCCTGATGACAGGAAATATCTTCCAATTCTGAGATTCTTTTTTCTGCCTCCTTCATTCTGCTTTGGAGACTCTCCACTGTACTTTTAATTTGCTCTACTGTGTTCTTCATTTATGATATATCAGCCTTGATTTGCTTTATTGCTTCCTTAAATTCTTTGAACTCTTGTATTTGTTTCTCATTGTTGATCAGAAGCTTTAAAATGAGTTTTCTGAATCCTGTATCCCCCCTTTTCTCGATGTCTTCCTCAGTTAACTCTGAGGTTGGCACAGGGTTTTGCTGCTTTGCAGGGGAGTCTTCAGTAATATTCATTGTGCCTTTGTCTCTTCTTTTGCTCTTGGTCATTGTACTTCTGGTTAGCAGATTCTTCTCCTTGGGGCAGGTTTCTAAGCTGTGTCACCCACAGGTCTGCAGTTCAGTTTTACTGATTGCAGTTGGTACACAGTTCTTTGCTTGCAGCCACTTGTGCCACAATCTCCAGCGGGTTCCAGGTCTGGGTTCTTATGTTAGATTTCCACCACGATCTCCATAGCCCCAGCTCCTGGCTCACCACTCTCCACCTCCTGTGATACCATGCTGAGGCTGCAACTTTTATCTGTACAAACTTTCTCCCACTTCCAGTTGGAGCAGGTTCCAGGATTAGGGAGACATCAGGTGTCCTATATAGCTAGGTTGTTGGTGGTGTTTATCTTGCCGGAACCTGTTTGCCGTTAGGTCTGGGTGCCACATGGACCTATTTTGACCCATACAATGCCACAGTCGGTATTTTCTTGTGGGACCAGTGCAATCCACTGAACTTAGTGAGTTCTCGTGAGATCAGCACATGCGCAGTTCACTGTTGTCCCCTGCAGTCCTAAAGCTTTTGCCACAGTGTACAAAAGGCACCTGATGTGCCACTACTAAAATTCTTGATCTGCTGGCTGTCAGGTCTGAGGGCTACCCAGACCTGTCTTGGGTGGAACCTGTAGAATGCCACGTTGATGAGTTCACTGAGTCAGAAATGAGTTCACTCCGAGCTCAGTTTATGCTCAGTCCTTTCCCTTGCCTTTCCCTCCTTACGCAAAATGGCACCCAATTCAGCTCTAGGGGGCTGACTGGGCTGTGAAATCCACCTGTTCTCGCACTGCCCATCTGGGATCTGTTGCTCTGTCTCTGCTCCTGGTCAAATCAAACGGACCAGCATAATGGACAGTTCTTTGTCTGGGTTCACCTCTGGAGCTCCTAGTGAAAGTCCCTTCCCACCTGGTTGCTGGTGGAGTTTTGGCTGCTGGTGGAGTTCAGATCTCTATTAACTGAATGCTGCTGGGGTATCAGTCACTGCAACATCACACCGTTGTGTCCGTTGCCTTCCTGTGTCTGTCAGTCTCCAGGTACCCCTCTGCTGTTGTTCTGTCCTCTCCTATTTCCTGGAATATGTCCTCTCTGCTTCATCCTGATTAAATGTTTCTCCATCCATTTAAACATGTCCTTACCCTATTCTGCCATCTTGATTCTCCCCAACCTAGTTTTAGACCTTATACCTCAAAATAGATAAAAGACTGAAATGTAAGACATAAAAGTATAAAACCTCTACAAAAGTATACAGGAGGGCATCTGCAGTTCCTGAAGGAGACAAGGACTAAATAGCTTTCAACTCAATATAATAAATAAACAATCCAACTGAAAATGAATGAAAGACATGCAGACACTTGATTAAATAGTATGTACAAAAGTTCCTTCTGACTCAAACATTCTGAATTCTTATTTAGATGGAACTTATTTAGATGGAACATAGGATGGGGCAAGCAGAGAGAATATTGAGTAGGGTAAAATGTTACTGAATTATCATTGTTTGGTGATTTGATGAAAGTTCCAGAAAGTCGTTTACTGTTTAGCTATAATTCCATAAACTAATTCACTTTGTAGGGGGATTTACTTATTTAATATCACTTAAGTCACAGGTACTCCAATGTTAGTAATGCTCTAGGCACATGTTTTTTTCATAAACAATACGAAACTGAGATAGCATTTTAGCCAATCATCATTTTAATGTCTTTTTTTCCCCTTAAAAGGGCCAGATGGTCATGTGACAAGATATGATTTGGATTGGCTGGTGAGAAACAGCTATGAAGGGCAGAAGCAGAAGGTTATTCAGCCTAGAATATTATGGAATGCTGAAATCTACCAACAAGCTCAAGTCCCATCTGTGGATTTCCAAAGTTTTTTAGAAACTAATGAGGGACTGAAGAAGTTTCTGCAAAACTTTCTTCTCTATGGAATTGCATTTGTAGAGAACGTCCCTCCCACTCAAGAACACACAGCAAGGTTGGCAGAAAGGATCAGTTTGATCAGGTAATTAATTAGTTTTCTGAAATCTGCAACTATTTTCTACTGGATTAAGATCAATAAAGAAATGTAGTAAGTATGAAAGATTATGATCTCCCTCGTTTACAAACCAGAATATTTTGTAATTTGAATAAAGGGATTTTCTCTTTTAGTGCTTTATTTGAGTATTAGATTTATCTCTAATGTATGTTAAATATGATGAAGTCATGGACATCTTTTTCTAGCCCAAGAATCCTCACAGTGAGAAGTGCTATTGTACATGAGCAAGAGCACTGAAGATGAATAAAGACAACCGGGTAGTATTCCAAGCTGTAGCATAAGTTATATGAGCATAAACTAATGCATTACACACATACTTGCACACACCTTCAGTCCCCTCTCCTCTACTGGTTTCTATCTGTTCAAAAGAGAACTAAATAAGGTAGTATACAAGGATCATCCAGGCTTGATTCTCTGTGATGGCTAACACTTGAGTCAGTGACTGGTTGTTACTAATGCTGCCTTATACCCTTGTATATCATTTAACCAACAAATTCAAATCCACTAGTTTTTGAAGGTCATTACACTTTTGTCCCCTGTTCTAGTGATGAGGCACCTGACTCTCAGATATCCCAAGTATCTTTCCCAGGGTTGTTCTGCTAGTAAGAAGTAGAACTGGAATTCAAATAAGTTCTGGTTTCCTGTTTCTAAGAACAGTATTCTTTTTATTCCCATTCTGCATTTCTAGGTGGTATATAGATTGATCATGTTGTGGTGTTAAAATGTGATTTAAATTTACTTTACTATAATTAGTACTTTCCTTTTACTTATAAGACCCAGATATAGTTCTTTATGTAGTAATACAGTATGCTATGTCATTTACTATATGTTAATGTGACATAAGTCAGCAGCACTTGTGAGTCATTCTGTTTGAAACACAGTTTGAGAACTTTCAAGTAAAAGAAACTGTGCTTATAAGAAAGAAGTTGAAAAGGCATTAGCAATTTTTGTTCCAATGATAGTTCATTGTCTATTTGGATTTGGAGGACTCAGAAAAAATGAACTCGGTATTGCAGTTAAACTGTTTCTGAAGGCTAAAGTATTGCCTTCAGTCAGATCTGAGAGCCCCCTAGGACAATAATTACAAAATTAAAATATGTAATATATACATCAAGAATGGATGTATCAATGATAATATCTCACATCTCAGCAAGTAGTTTATAATATAAAAACTATTCCTCTCTTTCTTATTTCTCTGTGGCCAGAAGATGAATCTATATTTTCCATTCTATTTCTCATTAAGAATATGGTAGCTCTTCAGTCACCCTTGAAAGTTGGTGTGGCCAAGATATTTAACACCATTATTGAAAGAATGTTAGTAACTAACTATAATTTACAAATAAAACAACAATAAAGGCTTTAAAAATCACTGGTAGAAACAAATACGTTATCTTTTGCTATAAAAGGAAGAGGAGCACAAGGAAAAACTTTGAATGTTAACACTGTTAAAAGTGAGCTTATAGAAAGGTAGAATAACACCCAAAGCCTTCAGAATACATTATACTTCCAGGTTTCCCATAAACTTCCTAGAATATTACTTGGTAACAGATTTGTTATGAATAATTACAGAAGTTACTGGAAAGAGCTTTGAAGGACAAGTATGATTACTTCCAAAAGCTAATAGATCTTACTTTATTTCATTTGACAGAGAAACAATCTATGGGAGGATGTGGCATTTCACTTCAGACTTCTCCAGAGGTGATACTGCATACACCAAGCTGGCTCTGGATCGGCACACTGACACTACCTATTTTCAAGAGCCCTGTGGGTAGGTGAAGTAGACTTTCTAGAGTCTTCACATGTGGTGATCTTGAAAGATTTTTAAGTCATTTTTCAATCTGTTTGAACCCAAATCACTTTTGCTGTTGCAGATTTATATGATTGTTTTTGCTCTCGCTCTAAAGATGTAATCATCTTGAAATATCCTAGCTCAGTCTTCTTCATATTCCTGGGAATAAAAAATGTGAAGTGATTGAAAACTGTTCTTATTTCATAAGTGGAGTCCTGGTTTTGCTAAAATAAATTTTTCTCAAAGTAATTTTTTAAACATTTATTTTTATTGGAAAGTCAGATATTAAGGAGAGGAGGAGAGACAGAGAGGAAGATGTTTTGTCCAATGATTCACTCCCCAAGTAATAACAATGGCTGGAGCTGAGCCTTTCCAAAGAAAGGAGCCTCTTCCAGGTCTCCCACGTAGGTGCAGGGTCCCAAGGCTTTAGGCTGTCCTTGATTGCTTTCCCAGGCCACAGGCAGGGAGCTGGATGGGAAGTGGGACTCAAGCCAGGATTAAGAACTGGGACCATATGTGATCCAAGTGCATTCAGGCGAGGACTTTAGCCACTAGGCTACTGTGCCGGGCCCTCGCAAGGTAATTTTAACTTGCTTTGAACGTACTGGGGAATTTGCAGTTTTCTTGCATGTAGTTATTATCATATTGCAAATGTGATTGCTTTACATATTGTATTAAGAAGATTTAAAATAAAATTTGTGAAGAGATAGAGAAGAAAAAAATGCAAAATAACCTTTTTCACACAGAATGAGAAATAATGAGACAAATATGGTATATAGCATACTTAACTTTTGTGCTTCCAGAAATTCAACTGGATGTTATAAACCTGTGGTGATCCCTGCAATGCTGCATCCTCATTTTAGAGGACATAGAAGGAAGAAAGAGTAAAATCAATGGGAAGCATCTGCATAGGAGTTCAGGTTCAAATACTCTTTATGACCAGCACCAGAGATAAGAAACTGCTTTTAAACTAACCCTTTCAAATAAATGGCAAGGACGGCACCTGTGAGAGATCAAAATGGCAGAATAGAGTAAGCACACGTTTAAACGAATGGAGAAACATTTAATCAGGATGAAGCAGAGAGGACATATTCCAGAAAACAGGAGAGGACAGAACAACAGCAGAAGGGTACCTGGAGACTGACAGACATGGGAAAGCAATGGTGTGGTGTTGCAGTGATTGATACTCAAGCAGCATTCAGCTAATGGCGATCTGTACATTTAAGGATCTTTTCCTTATGTTCAATTGAAGAGAGCTTGATGATCATGTGTGGTGGTGAAGATCACTTTTGATCAAGCCTGTTGGGAGTTCTGTGCCCCTCCTGGATCTTGTTTCCCAATTCTTTCTCTACATTAGGGAAAATTTCCTTTATTATTTCATTAAATATATCTGTAAAGCCAGTTTCTGTTTCTGCATCCTCTGGGACTCCCATAGCTCTTATGTTTTTAGCCTCTTAATAGTGTCTTTCAATTCTTGAATTTTTTTTTTTTACCTGATCCAGTTCTGCTTCCAGATTTTGGTTTGCTTCTCCCTGATGACAGGAAATATCTTCCAATTCTGAGATTCTTTTTTCTGCCTCCTTCATTCTGCTTTGGAGACTCTCCACTGTACTTTTAATTTGCTCTACTGTGTTCTTCATTTATGATATATCAGCCTTGATTTGCTTTATTGCTTCCTTAAATTCTTTGAACTCTTGTATTTGTTTCTCATTGTTGATCAGAAGCTTTAAAATGAGTTTTCTGAATCCTGTATCCCCCCTTTTCTCGATGTCTTCCTCAGTTAACTCTGAGGTTGGCACAGGGTTTTGCTGCTTTGCAGGGGAGTCTTCAGTAATATTCATTGTGCCTTTGTCTCTTCTTTTGCTCTTGGTCATTGTACTTCTGGTTAGCAGATTCTTCTCCTTGGGGCAGGTTTCTAAGCTGTGTCACCCACAGGTCTGCAGTTCAGTTTTACTCATTGCAGTTGGTACACAACTCTTTGCTTGCAGCCAATTGTGCCACGCCCTCCAGCGAATTCCAGGTGTGGGTTCTTATGTTAGATTTCCACCACGATCTCCATAGCCCCAGCTCCTGGCTCACCACTCTCCACCTCCTGTGATACCATGCTGAGGCTGCAACTTTTATCTGTACAAACTTTCTCCCACTTCCAGTTGGAGCAGGTTCCAGGATTAGGGAGACATCAGGTGTCCTATATAGCTAGGTTGTTGGTGGTGTTTATCTTGCCGGAACCTGTTTGCCGTTAGGTCTGGGTGCCACATGGACCTATTTTGACCCATACAATGCCACAGTCGGTATTTTCTTGTGGGACCAGTGCAATCCACTGAACTTAGTGAGTTCTCGTGAGATCAGCACATGCGCAGTTCACTGTTGTCCCCTGCAGTCCTAAAGCTTTTGCCACAGTGTACAAAAGGCGCCTGATGTGCCACTACTAAAATTCTTGATCTGCTGGCTGTCAGGTCTGAGGGCTACCCAGACCTGTCTTGGGTGGAACCTGTAGAATGCCACGTTGATGAGTTCACTGAGTCAGAAATGAGTTCACTCCGAGCTCAGTTTATGCTCAGTCCTTTCCCTTGCCTTTCCCTCCTTACGCAAAATGGCACCCAATTCAGCTCTAGGGGGCTGACTGGGCTGTGAAATCCACCTGTTCTCGCACTGCCCATCTGGGATCTGTTGCTCTGTCTCTGCTCCTGGTCAAATCAAACGGACCAGCATAATGGACAGTTCTTTGTCTGGGTTCACCTCTGGAGCTCCTAGTGAAAGTCCCTTCCCACCTGGTTGCTGGTGGAGTTTTGGCTGCTGGTGGAGTTCAGATCTCTATTAACTGAATGCTGCTGGGGTATCAGTCACTGCAACACCACACTGTCGTGTCCGCTGCTTTCCTGTGTCTGTCAGTCTCCAGGTACCCCTCTGCTGTTGTTCTGTCCTCTCCTATTTCCTGGAATATGTCCTCTCTGCTTCATCCTGATTAAATGTTTCTCCATCCATTTAAATGTGTCCTTACCCTATTTTGCCATCTTGAATCTCCTTCATTCAATATTTTTATATTTCCATCTCCCATTCATTCCTCAAACCCATATGCAGTTAATTTTTCTATTCTTCTCCCCTTCACATTAAAATTATTGTTGCTGAAATCCACAGCAACTAATTTATTATCTTATCCACTGTACATCATCTTATTTTGCCCCTGGAGCATAGCAATTATCACTACCTTTTGTTTAAATGTCCTTTTTCTCCCCAGTTTGTTTCTTTCTATTTCTCTGATCATTTTTTTCCCTCAGCCTTTTAAGCTGGATTGTTTTTCATGTTCATTTCCTAAGTACATTGTCCTGCAAGGTTTTTTTCTTGTACTTCTTGTAGTACTTGAAATGATCTCTCCTCATGACTTCTTCCATGTTCTTGGCTTTAACTATCAGCTTAAGTCTACAAAATCTACCTGTTCTTTGAGTTTAACATCTTCGACTGGATACTATTAAATTCTGACTTACAAATATCATGGTTCAACATGACCAGAACTGATATTTCTCATTTTAATTTTATTTATATAACATTTTCCTTGATTTTATTGCTTTAATGTTTCCTTATGTTTATTCCTTATGTTGTGGTTGCATCTCTTATTTTTGCTTAATTGACTATATTACTGCTTTATTTCCCTTCATTGTTTTTCAAATTCTATTTGTTCTCCAATACATTGGTAGTTAGGGTTAGCTAACCCTAACCTTCTCTTTCCCTCATATCCAAAAATATATAAAGGAACTTGAAAAAGTTTTACAAACTGGAATTATGAAGCACATTTATTTTGGTGCAACATTGAAATCCATGCGTATTTTTCTTTAGAAATATTTTCTATAAGGTTTTTAAGTACTCTGGTATGATTCAACTTTTTAACATTCGCCTAAATTGAGCATATTCCTCAACCCATCAGCATCCTCATTATTCATCTTTAAAGATTTACCAAGTGAGAAAACCTGTATCATTCTAGATTCTTGACTGTCCTTCATTCTCCACACCTAATCAGTTATCAGCTCCTGCCAGTTCTACTGCTGTTGTGTCTCTAAGGTATGCCCTCTTCCCTATAACACCCCCTCTAAGCTTAACACCTCAATACATTTCTCTAATGTTTAAATTCTCCAAGTTGTTTCCAAAGTTTTTTTTTGTCATCTTGCTTTCCAAAAGTCTATTTTCCACACTACCACCATAATCAAATCTTTAGAATGCTAATATGACCGGAGAGCTTCACAGTTTATAACTGTTCTATTGTTCTCTGTGCTATACCAAGAGGAACTTCTTACTTTCGTTCTTGAATAAACTTTCCAACTTTTTAGCACCATTTTTGGCCATGCTGCTTCTCTGCCAGGAATGCCCTCTTCTAAGCATCTCAATTCAATTCTAGTTCATTCTTTAAGATTAAGCCAAGCCACTCACATCCTCTTTATTGTTTTTTTTGTTTGTTTCTTTGTTTGCTAACTGTGTTTTAGTTTAATTATTATTACTTTTACACTGTGGTTCCATAGGCTATGGGGTTTCCCCACTTCACTCCCCAAATCCTTTCCTTTCCACTGATTTTGCCCATAGTATTGCAGTAGTATAGTCCTTCATAAACAGTCACATATCCATCATTCTGCCCTTTAAGCATCCTTACATTGTTGTTATGGACAATGGCAGAGTCCAGCGTCCTATTGTCAAAACAAATTAACAGTTTCTTGTGAGTTCATCTTTGGTTTGGAAGTAAAAATGCATATTGCATCTCATCTTCACAACTGGTTATGATAGTTTCAATTGCACACTTACTATACTTCCCCTTAAATGAAAAACCATAGAACAAAATCAACAGGAAGAGCAACAAAAAAATTAAAACAACATGAAGTTAAATAGCATGCTATCAAATGACCAATATGTTGCTGAATAAATGAAGAAAGTTTTAAAAACCCTCCTTAAGAAATCGACGCTACTGTATAACCTATGTGTCACTGAAGAAATTAATAGGAAAAAAGCTCCTTTTTTTTAGAGAAATGAAACTACAAACAAAATTTATCAGATTCCATGAGATATAGCAAAAACAGTACTAAGAAAGACTTTTCTAATGTCTCCCCTCAGTTGTCCCTGTGTTTTGTAGTAAAATAGTCTATCAAATGTAGCCTTGACTCCAACTTTCTGCTCTGTACTTGCACCATGACATTGTTTGCATAGGCAAGGGTAGAAAGTTTAATATTCCGTTGCATAGTTATGTTTAGAAGGTTCATTGGGGGTCTACTTTTATTCAGTTGTAGAGATGATTTCTATCGATTTTCTTTGGTTGCTGGTATTCTGGGAGTCATTACATCCTTTGTTTGTAAGATTACAAGTGTATGTTTACCATAGCTTTTGTTTCTCTTTCTCAAGGGAGGTCATCTCATGTTAGAATGAACATGTGCCATTTGTCTTTTTAGGATTGGCTCATTTCACTGAGCATAATGTTCTCCAATTGGGACCGTTTGGAGGGAAGTATTTCATTCTTTTTAATAGCTAAATAGTAATCCAGAGAGTAAATGTACCACAATTTCTTTATCCAGTCCTCCTTCGATGGGCATCCAGGTTGTTTCCATGTTTTGCAATTGTTGATTGTGTTGGAATGCATATAGGGGTACCGGTTGCTTTCTCATGTGTATTTATCAGGTCTTGTGCATATATTTCCAGGGGTGGGATTGTTGGGTCATATAGTATGTGAATTTTCAGTTGCCTGAATATTCTCCATACTGACTTCCAAAGTGGCTGCACCAGTCTACAGTCCCACCAGCAGTGGGGTAGGGAACCTTTTCACCCACATCCTCGCCAACAGGTGTTGTTGGTAATTTTCTGTATGTGGGCCATTCTCACTGGGGTTAAATGGAACTTCAATATGGTTTTTATTTGAACTTCCCTTATTACTAGGGAGCTTGAGCATTTTTTCATATGTCTGTTAGCCATTTGGATTTTTTTTCTTTGAAAAGTGCCTCCCGCTTGGGTCTGGCATGGTAGCCTAGCAACTAAAGTCCTCACCTTGCACGCCGGGATCCCATATGGGTGCCGGTTCTAATTCTGGTGGCCTCACTTCCCATCCAGCTCCCTGCCTGTGGCCTGGGAAAGCAGTGGAGGATGGCCCAAAGCCTTGGGACCCTGCACGCATTTGGGAGACCCGGAAGGAGCTACCGGCTCCTGGCTTTGGAAAGGCTCAGCTCCAGTCATTGCCACCACTTGGGAAGTGAATCATCAGATGGAAGATCTTCCTCTCTGTACATATGCCTTTCCAATTAAAAAGAAAAGAAAAGAAAAGAAAAGAAAAGAAAAGAAAAGAAAAGAAAAGAAAAGAAAAGAAAAGAAAAGAAAAGAAAAGAAAAGAAAAGAAAAGAAAAGAAAAATGTCTGCTCATTTCCTTCACCCATTTCTTAACTGGTTGCTTTGTTGTTGTTGTGTTTCTGGAGTTCTTTGTATATGCTGGATATTAACCCCCATCTGTCGTGTTGTGTGCAGATTTTCTCACACTCTGTTGGTTACTTCTTTACTTCGTTGATTGTTTCCTTTGATGTAGTCCCATTGGTTTATTGAATGCCTGTGATTTTGATGATTTTGTAGGAAGCCATTTTCCCTCTGCTTTTATCTTGTAGAGTATTTCCTACATTTTCTTCTAGTAGCTTTGTGGTTTCTGGGTGTAGGCTTAGATCATTTACCCAATTAGATTTGATCTTTGTATATGGTGAAAAGTGAGGGTATTATTTCTTACTTCTGCAGGCTGTTATCCAGTTGCCCCAACAGCATTTGTTGAAGAGACCATCTCTTTTTCCATGGGTTTTTTCTGTTTTCTTGTCGAAGATTAGGTGACTGTACATGTGCGGGCTCTCTTCTGGTGTTTCTAGTCTGCTCCATTGATCTTACTCTGCTTCTGTACCAGTTCCAGGGTATTTTGGTCACTACTGCCTTATAATATGTTCTAAGGTCTGGAATTATGATCCCTCCAGTCCAGCTAGATTCGTATTCTTCAGTATGGTTTTGGCTATTCATGGTCTCTTTTGTTTGCAGATGAATTTCTGTATCATTTTTTCCCATCTCTGTGAAGAATGTTCTTGGGATTCCACACTCTTACAACACATTTCTTTATACAACACTACACCAGGGGAGTTCATTCTTTTATGCTTCCACTATTTCTTGAAAACAAGCTTATTACAGTACATGTTATATTTTATTAGTACTTATTTGTTTTGTCTCTTCTTATTAGACTATGAGCTTCTTAAAAACATAGGTTAGTGGCGGGCATTTTGCCTAGCTATGATGATGCTATTTGAGACACATACATTCCATACTAGATGATGTGGATTTGAGCTCCAGTTCTGGCTCCTGGTTCCAGTCTCCTGCTAATGTAGACATTGGGAGGCATCAGTAATGGCTCAAGTTATTAAGACCCGAAGTAAGCTCCTAGCTCCTGGCATTGACCTCTAGCTGCTGTGAACATTTGAAAGTAAACTAGCTGATGAGAGCTCTGTGTATGGTTGTGTGTGTGTGTGTGTGTGTGTGTGTGTGTGTGTGTGTGTGAAACAATCAAAAAATAAACAACCATGAAGCAATTAGCTGACACAATAGTATATCAGGCTGATCCTCTCAGCATCCTACATGGTCTCTGGCTTAATTCTTACTGCTTCACTTTCACTCCAGCTCCTTTTTGATGGCTTGGAAAAGCAGTGGAGGATGACTCAAGTCCTTAAGACTCTACACCCACATGGAAGTCCAGGAAGAAACTCCTGGCTTTGAGCTTTGGATCAGCCCAGCTCTGGCTGTTGCGGCTATTTGGAGAGTGAACCGGTGGATGCAAGATATCTCTCTCTCTCCCTTATCTCTCTGTAACTCTGACTTTTAAGTAAAATACATTTAAAAATAAACAATTGAAAACACACCTAATTTATGTATTCGCAGACCAACGAACATGTAGGCTTCAATACATGTCAAGTACCTTTAGAAGAAATCACCATTGTTATTCCAAATGACAAACAGCACACAACTGAGTATAAGGGGAAATCATTAGAAAATGAGATTGATTTCTTTATGAAAAGAAAGTGACACAAGTCGATTCATAAAAAATCATATATAATTTTCTGGAATTTTGATATGTTCTCTGTTCACTGAACAGAATTTTCTTTCCTTTTTTTGTCACTCTTTAGCATTCAAGTGTTTCACTGTCTTAAACATGAAGGAACCGGTGGCAAGACGTTGCTGGTAGATGGATTTTATGCAGCAGAACAGGTACTTCAAAAGGCACCTGAGGAATTTGAACTCCTCAGCAAAGTACCATTGAAGCATGAGTATATTGAAAATGTTGGAGAAAGTCACAACCACATGATTGGAGTTGGGCCAGTGTTAAATATCTACCCATGGAATAAAGAGCTCTATTTGATCAGGTGAGTACCAAATAAGTATGTGCCAGTGTAAAGTATGTATCATAATGTTCTACTGTAATGCAAATCCCTAATACTCTTATAGTCTGTTACAATAAACTCTTGCTATCCTATGAATTCTTATTATACAACATTTTGTATTCTTATAATTCTGATGGAATAATAAATAGGCCAACAACCAAGGAACACTTCATGTTGGGAGGAAAGATTTGGAACTAGTGTGTTTAAAGTCAAAACACTGTTAAAATGTAAAATTGTTATTATCTTCAGTGACCAAACACCTTGGATATGCAAAGGCATGATGACACAAATGTCTATGTATCTAAGACAAATTATATGATTCTCCTGGCCAGCATATCCAACTGTTGGCTGGATATCATCACTTAGACATTTTGTGGAATCATGAATTTCTCATTCGTGTTATCTGTTATCTTCCTCACTACTTTAATCTGTCTCTCTGTGTTTTCTTGCATCTCGTTATGATTCCTTGGGATCACTATTTTGAGCTCTTCTCCAGGTATTTCATAGATTTCTTTCAAATCAGGATCTGTTTCTGGAGGACTATTGTGGGTTTTCGTTGTTTGTTTGTTTGTTTGTTTTTTGGAGCCACCATGCTTCCTTTGCTCTTCATGTTTAACGTGTCCCTATGTTGACTTATGTATATTTGGCACAACAGTTTCATTTCTTTAATGGAGTTAGCTTCATCAGAAAATACTTTTCGGAATAGATGGAATGTCGGTGTTGCTTGGGTCGCTGATTTGGCTTGGTTTGCAAGTGAGCTCAGAGATGTAACTTCTAATTGATTTCTTCAGCGACAATCATTGTCAGTATTGTCTACAGTTGATTAGTCAGCATAAGTTTGTGCAAGTAATAGTATGACTTTGAAGTGGACATGGACTTCCAGAGGTGCCTGTCTTCAGTCCCCAGAGAGTTGTGTGTCTATCACACTTGGGCTTTTGATGACTATAGCCATGCTTTCTGGTATTGTAGGACACTGAGGGAGTTCTCATTTCACTTGAGGCAAGTGTGAGTGATACTAAGAGTCGTGCACCAACAGACATGGCCCTCAGACTGTACTATGTAGACATGACCTCCCCCGCCTCCCCAGATCCTACTATGTACACATGGCTAAGGCTGTGACTTACAGCGCCAAGAGCCAGTATCCCTGCAGAGGGAGCTATCAAAGGTCCCAGGCCCCAGGCCCACAGAATGAATACAGGTTATACTGGTTATTCACCAGTAGGTGTGGGTCTGGAGCACTGAAATTCAGGTAAGGTTATTCCCTAAGTTCTACATGGTGAGTTCGATTATTCCCTCCCTGGCAAGATGGTGTCCCTTGGCAAGGGATCTGGAAAAGGAGTAGTGGGCATTGACAGCAGATGGCATGCTTTGTTCTGCCTTTCTACTGTCCTCCAGAGTTCCCATGCAGTTTGCAGACTTCATCATGTGCTGAAGTTGTCCCGTCAGTTTCCTCGTCTATAGTATTTTATATTTAGAACCCTTTTCATGGCAAGTTAGCCTCTATGAATGATCCTCTTAACGTGCTGTTGAATTCAGCTTGCTAATATTTTGTTGAGGCTTTTCGAATTGTGTTCATCAGGCATAATGATTTCTGTCTCTTTTCTTGCAATGTCCTTGTCAGGGTCAAATGGGTTTGAAAGTGTTCTCCAAAAGAGCTAAGAGTAAGGTGGGGTGTAGGCTCTTCTTTAAATGTTTGGTAGAACTTGGCAGTAAAACCATCATTCCTTGGACATTTGGTGGGAGAATTTTTATTGCTGAACCAATCTCTTTGCTTACTATTGGTGCATTCAGGTTTTTTCATTTTGTTTTGTTTTTATGTTTTGCTATCTTTTCAAGAGATAGTCTTCATAAATTGTATGTGCCTAGGAAATTGTCCATATCTTCTGATTACCCACTTTGTTGCTGTATCTGTTCTTGGTACTCAAGATCCTTTGTATTTCTGTGATATCAGTTGTACTATCTCCTCTATCATTTTGGTTGTGTCTGGATCTTCTCTTTTTCTTTTACCTTGTTTAGGTAAATATTTGTCCATTTTCTTTTTTCCTTTAAGATTTATTTTCATTGCAAAGTCAGATATACAGAAAAGAAGAGAGGCAGAGAGTAATATCCTCTGTCCGATGATTCACTCCCCAAGTGAGTGCAACGGCTGGAGCTGAGCCTTTCCACAGCCAGGAGCCAGGAGCTCCTTCGGGTCTCCCATGCAGGTGCAGGGTCCCAAGGCTTTGGGCCGTCCTCCACTGCTTTGCCAGGCCACAAGCAGGGAGTGGATGGGAAGCGGGGCCCATATGTGATCCCGGGTGTGCAAGGCGAGGACTTTAGCTGCTAGACTACTGCACCAGGCCCAAACCAGTTTAGTTTCAATGATTTGTGTTTTTTTTTTTTTTCTGTTGTTTTTCTAGCATCCACTTCACTTATTTCTGCTGTGATTATTTTCTTCCTTCTCCTAACTTGGACTTAATTTGCTCTTCATTTTCTAGTTCCTTAAGGTGCAGAGTTCATTCATTTATTACAGTTTTGCTTTGCTTTTTGTTGCACATATGCATGAATTAGACAGTGTTCCCTCTTAGCATTGCTTACTCCTGCTTCACATATGTATTTGATGTTACTGCATACTCATTTTATTTGCCTCGGACTGACTTTTTTTTTTAAATCCCTGTTAATATTTTTATTGATACACTGTTGGTTCAGGAGTATGTTGTTACATTTTCACGGTATTTCTGTTTGACTTTTCCCAAACTGTTCTTGTTACTGACTTCTAGTTTCATGCAATTTGGTTGGAAAAGATATGTGGTATGAGTTCAGTCTTCTTCCATCTGTTAAGACTTGCTAGAGTATGAACTGTGCTAAAGAATGCTGCATGTGTAGTTCAGATGTGGATGTTGTCTTCTTGTGTTGGCCCTCTATCTTCAGATAATGGCTTGTTTTTCTTTTTATACTTTCTGACTTGAATTCTATTTTATCTTTCCTAACTGTGGCTGTGACTCCTGCTTTCTTCTGGATTCCACTTGCATCAAGTATCTTTTCTGATCCACTCACTCGTAGTATGTGTGTGCTTTGATGAGTGAAACTAGCCAGAAACATATAGGTAGGTGTTTCCACCAGAAAATCTAAGCCATTTACCTTCAGGGTGATCACTGACACTTGGGGACTTGGTATTGCCCTATTGTTACCTGTCTTCTGATGATTTCCCAGAGCCTTTGTTCCATTCTTCCTCCCTTTCAATCTTGCTTTATTAGTGTTAGCATTCCCTACTGAAATGCTTTCATTACTTTTTATCCTTTGTGTGTCTACCACATTTTTTTGTTTTGTTTTGTTTTGTAGTTGCCATAGGGCATAGGAAACACAACTTATACTTTCAACAGGCTATTTTAAGCTGCTATCAACTTAACTTTGATAGCATAAAAATCTGTAAACTGTTATTCTCCCTACATTTAAAATTCTTGTTGGTTCAATTAATGTCTTTTACTGGTGAGTTTTATGCTTTATATGATTTCATGTAAATATGAACAACTCCCTTTAGCAATGAATTTGCAAGATAAATTTGGTGGTATATGTTTTCATTGCTCTCCATTTTGCAAGATCAGCTTGCTGGGTGCAATATTTTTGGTTGACAGATTTTGTTTTGTTTTTTTTAACCACCACCTCAAATGCCCCCCTCACACACACACTTTGACTGTTTCATTTCATTTTCACCTGACACCAAAGGTCTCTGATGAGAAAACTACAGCTAGTCATATGAGAGTTCCCTTGTATGTTGTTTATTTTCTCTAGTAGCATTCAGCACAGCACTCTCTTGATTTTTGACATCCAACAGTTTCATTAGCATGTTGTCTTTACAGTAGTTTTGTTTGTATTGATTCTTATGGAGACTTGACCTTCTTGTACTTGTCCAGTTTTACCTTTACCCACATTTGAAAATTTTCTGCTGTTGCTTTTTTTTTTTAAGAACCTTTCTACCCATTTCTCCCCACCTCCTCATCCCTTCCCTTTCTTGCACTCCTATGATATTTCCCCCTTTACTGCTAGTCTTTAAATACTGGGAACTTTCTTCATCCTTTTTGGTTTCTTCTTTTTCTCCTCTCACTATACATTTTCAAAGAACCTGCTTTGAGTTCCAAGCTTCTTCTGGGTGAACAATGCTGCTGGCGTTCTCTACTGCCTATTTCATTCCACTTCATTGCATTTGTTTTACATAGTTTATACTTTCAATCTGTCTGCTCAGTTTCTCAATTTGCTAGTTATTTTCTTTCTTGATCTCATTGAGTTGTCTCCCTGTATCTTCTTGAAATACAGAGCTTCCTTAAAATGCTTGCTTTGAACTACTTCTCAGGCAGCTCATATAGCTCCATTACTATGAGGTCACCTACTCAGAGCGTCTTGTGTTCTTGTGGTGGCATTATGTCTCCTCAGTCTTTCATGTTTCCTGTTGCCTTAAGTGTCGATGTCTGCAAGTTTGAGAGACTAGAGACTTATTCGAGTCTTCTCAGACTGTCTTTGTGTGTGAAATCACCTCACCAGTCAGCCTACCTAGAGATTCTACGAAGGCCATCTGGCATGGTCCCAGGGCAAGCTTGCTCTTGAGGTCCTGGGGCAGGCTGGCCTGGCATCAGGGTGAGAAAGTGAGTAAAGCCTGATAACTGTGTCTGCAGCGCTGGTCCTGAAGCTAAAATCCACTGGGGTATGCCTTTTGATAGAGCCTGTGAATGGACCTGGGGGCTACCTCCATAAGGTAGGCCTGAAGCCCAAATCTATAGGGGCCAGCTTGGTGGCTGAACCTCTCAGGTACAGATACCACAGAGCACATTAAATGAAGAATGCTTAAGATAAAGAGTTATGAGTGGTAATAAAATAGTAACTTTAAGATTTGAGGAAAATCAGTGTAGCATCCTAGGGCTGAGGCAGAATGTCTAAAGGAGGATAAACCTGAAAGTGGTTCACACCTTAGACAAAGAATAGTCCGAGCCACCTGATAACAGAGAAAT